TGAGGAATTTTTGTCCCTCCAGATTTCATTTGATTCTTAATTCCCATCAGTCCGAGCTAGCTGGATCAATAGTGAGAGATAATATTGTCCCAGTATTGTCTACATGGACTGGCACAAGTTCTCCAGTGTATCAGACAAGAATATTTTCCATTTCTACATGGCAAGGTCATGAATTCAACATGGAATCTTCTGCTAGCAAAGCATGTGTTATATGCCTTTAGTGTGTAGTTCTTCTCTTACGGTAGTACCACATTTCCTTCTGTTAAAGTCATGTTATGAAGCAACTATGCAAATCATCCTTATTTGTGATACTTGGACATGCCAACCATTGATTAAAGTTTGTGACAGCGTAATGATTACACCTGTCAGAGCATTGTGCCACAATGTAATATAACGTGATGCAGGGGTGTCACTAGAGGGGTGTGGGCTGCAATAGATGACACCCTAATTGGAGTGACACCACTGCTCCCCTAACATTAATGGTTTGTGTGGGGGGGTGCTGTTCAGTGAGTGGAGAAAGGAGAAACTTGCTCACAGTCACCATCAGCGAGTGAGGCAAGTGTCTTTTTCTCTGTCCACTGAACCTTGGCAGTCATGATTCCTCCCTTTCCCTCATCCTTTTTTCACTCTGCCACCAGACCTTTCAGACCCAGATGAAGCAGCCAGACAGGTGGAAAAGGTAGACAGAGGAAGGAGAGGCAAAAGGCAGTGGTGGCAGAAACATGGAGCTGGCCCTGCCACCCTGCCGCCACTGCTGATAGCCTGTCCCTTTGGAGGGCTACATCTCCCTGAAGAGATGGGCAGTTTCATTTCATGATGATTACTGAAAATATTTTTTTTATGGGGGGGGGTAAAATGATTTGCACTGCCTGCCAAATATGCTAGGTAAACCATTGGTGTGATAAAAAATGTAAATTAGTATGATGTAGCAGGAAGAGTATAGCTACCACATTTTGATATTTGGATAATAGTTAGTGCTAAGTAAGCACTGTATGCGGCAAATTAGAAGCTTTGACTAGTCTGGTTTTCAGGGACAGCCTGCCCAGCCTGCTCTCAGAAATGGGTAGCTTTAGGTTCTTCATGCGGAACTGAAAATTATTCTGTAGACTGGCAGCTGAAGGCAAAGTTAGGGAATGCTACGGATGATCATTTCACAGCAGTCCAATCTAGACCTAAATACCCTAAAGGCACCATATCTGGTCTGATCATGGAAGCTATGTAGGGTCAGCCCTGATTAATTCTTGGATGGAAGACTGCCAACAAATACCAGGTGCTGTAGAATAAAAAACTGGCAAAACTACCTCTAATAATAATAATAATAATAATAATAATAAT